CCCGGTACAATCATGGCGGCGCCGCCCGCACGCTCCGGTAAAATTTGCGGTTCACGGCTCTCGGAGCGGCCGGGGCGGGCGGGTTTGCGCTCGGGTGACGTTCGGGGATTTTTGGGATTTTTATCCCTCCCCCGACGCTTTGGGATGAGGATTTTGGGATTTTCTGCCCTTCCGGCCTCCTCTGGGAGGTTGGGAGAGCGCGGATCGCGCCGTGCGGGGCTAGGGGTGCGCTCCCGAGGGAGCGCTCCGCGGGGATGAGCCGGGAGCGCTCCGCAAATCCCATTATCCCGAAATTCCCGGATCCCGGCTCCGCCAGCGCCACCGGCTGTCCTGGCCCGAGACTCCTCTGGAAAAGGGATTTAACCCCTTGGCGCCTGTTCTGTCTGGGAAGGAGGAAAAACGTTCCTTCCCCTCTTGGAGGAGTGGTGGGAATCAACGGGAAAACAGGGGAATGGTCCTGGAATATTGGGAATATTTCTTGATGGGATTGCACCTGCAGGAAAGGGGTGAAGAGCAGTGATCCTGAAATATTTGGAATATTTATTTAAGGGATTGCACCTGCAGGGAATGATTGAGATTATCCTGAAATATTGGGAATATTTATTTATGCGATTGCACCTGCAGGAAGTGAGTGAAATTATCCTGAATTATCGGGAATATTTCTGTTTGGGATTGCACCTGTATGAAAGACGGGAAGAGGAATTATCCTGAAACATTGGGAATATTTCTGTTTGGGATTGCACCTGCAGATCCCAAAATCTGCACCGCGACACCTCTGGGATATCCCGGGAAACTCCACTTGCCCTGGACCTGGAGCAGCTCCCGGCTTCTCATGGAAAAAGGGCCACGGAAATTGTGGAAATTAATTTTTTTGGGGGCTGTTTTACCCCTGCCGGCGGTCCTGGAGAGTTTTGGGATGGATTCCCTGTCCAGTGCCCGGTACCCGGTGCCCTGTTCCCGGTCTCGGTACCCGCTGTCAGTGCCCGGTGCCCAGTGCCCGGTGCCGGCTCTCAGTGCCCGGTGCCGGTGCCCTGTTCCCGGTGCCAGTGCCCGGTGCCGGTGCCCGGTGCCCGCTGTCAGTGCCCTGTTCCCGGTGCTGATGCCCGGTGCTGATGCCCGGTGCCGATGCCCGGTGCCGGTGCCCCCGGGAGAGGCTGCGGGAGCCGCCCCGGCAGCGCGGGCAGGAAGCGCTCGCCGCTCCCCGGGCTCGGGGCCACATCCGGGCCGGGCTGCGGGGGCGGCGGAAACGAGAGGGGAGCGGAGAGGGAAGGGGAGAGGAGGGGAGAGGGTAGAGAGGGGAGAGGGAAGAGGGGAGCGGAGAGGGGAGGGGAGAGAGGGGAGCGGGGAGAGGGGAGCGGAGAGGGGAGGGGAGAGGGGGGGGAGAGAGGAGAGAGGGGAGTGGAGGTGGCGGCCCCGGGCAGCAGTGGGACTGGAATCACCCACACCCCAGCCCTGCAGGGACACAGTGGGAACATCCCGGGACACATCTGGATCCCCACCCATCCCTTCCTCCATGGATTCCATCCATCCATCATCCATCCATCCATCCATCATCCATCCATCCATCCATCCATCCATTCCATTCCATTCCATTCCATCACATTCCATCCATCCAGGCTGGGACAGTTGGGATTCTCCAAGCTCCAAAAGAGAAGCTCCAGGGACACCTCGGAGCCCTTCCAGGCCCTGAAGGAGCTCCAGGAGAGCTGGAGAGGGGCTGGGAACAGGGAATGGAGGGACAGGACACAGGGAATGGGTGGGATCTTGGGAAGGAATTCCTGGCTGGGATGCAATTCCCGGAGAAGCTGTGGCTGATCCATCCTTGGGAATATCCCAGGCCAGGTTGGAGCAGCCTGGGACAGTGGTGCCATGGCAGGGGTGGCACTGGAGGGGATTTGAGGTCCCTTCCCACCCAAACCATTCCAGGATCCTTCGATTCCTCAAATCCACAAAATTCCCGACGCGCTCTGAGCCCGCCCAAAGCCCCGCGGGGACCGGTGAGGAGGGGACGGGATGAGTTGAAATTTCCCACCCCCCAATTACTCATCAGGAATTTTGGGGCTGTGACTGGGAATTAATTCCTCCAGAGAGATTAATTAATATTAATTAAATAATTAATTAATCATGGCTCAGCCCTCCACAAACAAAAAGTGGCTGAATTTTAGGTTTCCCCCCCTAAAAATAATGTGGAAAAGTCACCGGCACCACTCCAGCGTGGATCAGAACTTATGGATGGGTAATTAATGAGTAATTAACGAGTGACACCAATCAGCTCAGCCCTGACTCACATCCGTCCTGACGCTGAAACATTTTTGGCGCCGGGAATGGGAAATTTTGATGAAACTGCCCAAAAAATCGGGGTGTGAAGGGGTCTGGGAGGGGTTTGGAACCCTGAGGATTCCCCAGGTGTGAAACCCACCCCGGCGCTCTAAAATCCGCTTTAATTAACCTCCACCTTGGTTTAATTAGCGGATAAATTGAAACGATTCATGGCGAGCGGGGCGCGGAGCAGCCCGGAACAGCGGCGGAATTTTTGGGGTGATTTCCTAATTTAGACAAATCCTCTCCGCTCTCTCCTTCCGCCGCCCCGCCCTGGCTCGGTGACAGCGGCGACAACAAAATAGCGACGGGACCTGAAACCGAAACCGAGATTTGCAGCTCTGGGGCTCGGCTCCGAGGGATTTCTGAAGGTTCCACTCCTCCAGGATGGATTTGGGGGTTTTTTTTTGGGGTGTTTTCTCCTTTTTTTGGTGTTGGGCGCCTTTTCCCCTGCGAGGTTCGGTCACTTCACGTTCTCAGGTGTTTTTCCTCGAATTTTGAAATAAATAACTTGTTTTTTTTGGGGTTTCTTTCCCAAAGCAAGGAAAACGCTCCCGGTGAGGTGTGTGAATCCCTGAATCCCGGCTGCGTTCCTGTTTTTAGCGGGAATTAGGAGGGAAATAACCCTGGGAATTCTGTTCCAGCCTCAAGGGCTGGAGGGGTGCTCCAAGCTCTGGGCAGATTCCCAGGATCTGGGCCCGCTCCTGGGAATGCAGCTGGGAAACTCTGCTGGGACAAACTGAAAATTCCCTTTTTTCCCCCAAAATTGCAGCTGGGCTGGCGGTGGGAGCCCTGCGGAGGAGCCGGCAGCGCGTCTGTCCCTGCCGGTCCCCCGGGAATGTCCGGTCCCCCTGGAATCTTCAGTCCCTGGCCCTGGGGGGCTGCAGGGAAAGGGAGGAACCTTCTGGAATTGGGAATAACTGCAGGAGACCGAGCTGTTCCTGCAGCTGATCCCAGTGGGATCCCTGTCCTGTAGGGTGCCCCAATGGATCCTGGAGCTCATCTCAATGGGATCCTGGAGCTCATCCCGATGGGATCCACATCCTGCAGCTCATTCCAAAGGGATCTTAATCCTGCAGCTCATCCCAGCAGGATTCCCATTCTCTGGCTCGTCCAGTTGGGATCCCGGTCCTGCAGCTCATTCCAGTGGGATCCCTGTCCTGCACTGTGTCCCAATGGGATCCTGGAGCTCATCCCAATGGATCCTGGAGCTCATCCCAATGGATCCTGGAGCTCATCGCAATGGGATCCTGGAGCTCATCCCAATGGATCCTGGAGCTCATCCTGATGAGAATAATTAGTGGAAATTAATGACAATTAATGGTGAATAAAAGTGAGTAAAAGTGGGGGTGGAAAATAGAAATAATCAAAAATTATAAAAATTAATCATTTTAATAAAAATCAAATCAAATCAAATCATTAATATTGGAGCCACTCCTCCCTTCTCCAGCCAATCCCGGGCTTGGCTTTCCAAAAGAGGGAATATATTGGAATCAGGGCTCATTTTTCCTTGGATTCCTTGGATTTCCATGGATGTTTTTCCTAAAAAAAGGGGGGAAAGAGCAGGAACTGGGTTTGGAGGCCCCATTCCCGGTTTGGGATCTGCATTCCCACGGGATTTGGGCTCTTAGGGATTTTTGAGGAGTTTGAAGGGTTTTGAGGGGATTGAAAGGATTTTTCCGGGATTTCCCGGCCTCCTGCATGAGCGGGGCCATCCCAGGATTCCATGGAATTACACAAAAGGAATTCATCCCAATGGATCAATCCCAATTAACCCAAATTAATCAGTCCAAATCAATCCAAATCAATCAATCCCAATGGATCAATCCCAATTAATCAATCCCAACCAATCCCAATTAATCAATCCCAATGGAACAATCTCAATCAATCCCAATGAATCAATCCAAATTGATCAATCCAAATTAACCCAAATTAATCAATCTAAATCAATCCAAATCGATCAATCCCAATCAATCAATCCCAATTAATCCCAATTAATAAATCCAAATCAATCCAAATTGATCAATCCCAAACAATCAATCCCAATTAATCCCAATTAATGAATCCCAAATGATCAATCCCAACTAATCAATCCAAATCAATCCCAATGGATCAATCCCAATGGATCAATCCCAATCAATCCCAATTAATCAATCCCAATTAAGGAGCTCCCGCTGGCGCCGCCTTTCCCATTTTTCTCTGTTTTGAGGGAAAACCTCCTGGAATTCCAACATTCCCCATCCCAAATCCCAAATCCCAAATCCCAAATCCCTTCCCAGCCTTTCCCAAGGCCCTTTTGGTTCCCTTCTTCTGCCAAACTTTGGGAGTTTTGGGGTCGGATCCGGCTCCCGTTGGATATTCCCACGGGAATATTTTTGAATCCCAAATTCCCAATTCCCCGGGATTTTTCCGGAGTCCAAACCCGGAATTCAACATTTCAGGGGAAAGTTGGGATTTTTTCCATGATTTTTCCCATTTTTGTTTCGCTTTCCTCCCTCCCCAACCAAAACTGAACCCGGGAATGAATTTTAGGACCAAAAATGACCCCAAAAATTCCAATTTTTTTGCTCCTTTCCCCCCTCCAAGGGAATTTCCCTCCTTTTGGCTCTCCTGGAAGTGAAATTTAACCCCAAAACCACCTCAGATTTGTTGATTTTCACCCCAAACGCAGCGATCCCAGCCCAAAAATTTCCATTTCCTTTCATTTTCTTAATTTCTATTTCTTTTATTCCGTTTCTTTCCACTCCATCTCCCCCCACCTCATTCTATTTCTTATTTAAAATTTATTTTCTTTATTCTTCTGCCGCTTGCGTTCCCTCAACCACCTCAAAACCAATTATCACAATTAACATCGGGATGATAATTCTTATTTTAATGATTCTGTTTGGCTGCTTTTGCTGCTCCGGGTGCCTTTTAAAGGAAAATTTTGAGGTATTTTGAATTATTTTTTCCCAACCGCCTCCCCCTTTTCCGATATTTACAGAACATTTACAGCAAATTTATTGAGATTTACAGAATTCCTTACAAATATTTACAGAGAATTACAAATATTCACATCCCCACCCCAAAAAATGTGAATTTTTTTAATAGAAAAAGCGAATTTTTAGCCGTATTTACACCGGGATAAAAATCTGGGCCGCTCCCCCCGCAATTCCCGAGGTGATTTTATCCCTTGGAAAAACATTCCTGAGTTTTCTTTTTTTTTTTTTTGAGGGGGGAGCTGCGGATTCCGGAGGCTGCTGGACTGAAATATTTATATTTATATATTTTCATATTTCTATTTCTACTCATAGACGGGATTTTTAATAGATTTATATAGATTTATATGATTTTTTAATATAAGATTATTAATATAAATATAAATATTCATTCCCAGAGCGCATCCCGGGATTTTTTTTCCAACCGCACCCGCAAATTATTCAAAATTCCATTATTTTTTTTGCTCTAGAAAACGCATTTTTAACCCCACCCGGAATTCCATGGAAAACCTCCCCGGTTTTTGGGATTCCTGGGATGCGCTGAGAGGGCCAAACCCCCTAAAATCCGCTTTTCTCGCCGCGTTTTGGGGCTGTTTGGGGGGATTTTTTTGGGAATAACGGCTCGAAAATCCCAAGGTTTTGGCGAGGGAATTTCCCGCTGCTCTGCTCAGCTGGGGAGGAGCAAAAAAATACAAAAAAAACCTGATTTAACCCCAAAAAACCGCTAAAAACCCAAATTTACCAAACCCCGCTTTTAGCACCAATCCGCCACTTCCAGAGAAAACCAGATCCCAAACATTCCAAACATTCCAGGCCTTTTAAATCCCGTTTTTTCCCCTTTTTTTCCTTATTTCTTTAAGGCGCTGATGGAATTCAAAGCCGGGATCAATCCAGCAGGCCGCGTGTGAAGATTTTCCTTTCAATCCTGCCCTTCCCTTTTCCTTTAATTTTAATTTTTTTTTTTCCTTTTTGGTGCTAAATTTTGGAGGATAAATTAAAAAATTCCCAAGAGGGACCCTCGGGGAATCCCTGGAATTTTTTCTCCTGGAAAAAAAAGGCCAAAAAAAAAAACCCCAAACACAAAAAAAAAAACCCAAAAAACCCCAAATTTGCTTTGATTTTTTTTTTTTTTTAACATTACAAAGCAGAGATTTGAGTTTTGATGGAGCAGGGCTGGAAATCCCATCGGGAATTTCCAAAGGTTTGGAAAAGTTCAAGCTGGATTTGATTCCCTCGGTGGAGGAGGGAGGGAGGGAGGGACATTCCCGGCGCATTCCCAGCGCATTCCAGCCGGGATCATTCCCGATTTTCCCGGATCCTTTTTCCCCCCATCCAAAGCTTTTCCAGGCCCGCAGCCTTCAGGGATAAAATCCCATAAATTCCTCACTTTTTATCCCTTTTCCACCACCTTTTATTTTAAAAAAAAAATTGAATTTCCAAGTCGCTTCCTCTCCAACCCCCCCGGATTTCTTCCGACCACCCGAAATTCCCGGTTTTTTTAAACGTTGCCGTTTCCTCCCTTCCCCTGGAAAACACCGCTCTAAAACCGGGATTTGGGATTTGCTCCCGATTTTCACCGGGATCCACTCGGCCCGATAAGGAAGGGGATTTTTCCCTTCCCTTCGTGGGATTTTTTTTATTGGTTTAATCCATTTTTTACGGTGAAAAAAGGAGAAATTAGTTCTGAGATTTCCTCGTTTTTTGGTTTTTGGGGTTTTTTTTGGGAGTAGGGGTCGGGGGTCAGGGCGGCGGGAGCCTCTTCCCAGCTCATTCCCAGTTTTCCCGGCTCATTCCCAGTTTTCCCAGCAGCCGCTTCATCCCTAAATCCCCTTTATGGGAATCACCGCGCGGAGTTTTTGGGGAATTATTTGGCTTCCATCGCGCGTTTTAACCTCACCCTAAAACTTCTCCTGAACTCAGCATCCCGGAGCACACGCGGCCCCAAATCGGGCCCAACTCGGCCCCAAAATCAGCCCAGATTCAGCCCCAAAATCAGCCCAAATTCGGCCCCAACTTGCCTCCAACTCGGCCCCAAATCAGCACAAAATGGTCCAAATTCGGCCCAAAATCAGCCCCAAAATCAGCCCCGAATTCGGCCCAAACTTGGCTCCAACTCGGCCCCAAATCAGCCCAAATTTGTCCCTACATCGGTCCCATTTCGGCCCCAAATCAGCCCCAAAATCAGCCCAAATTCGGCACCAAATCAGCCCCAAATTCGGCACCAAAATCAGCCCCAACTCGGCCCCAAATTCGGCCCCAAATCAGCCCCAACTCGGCCCCAAATTCTGCCCCAACTTGACCCCAAATTCTGCCCCAAATCAGCCCCAACTCGGCCCCAAATCCGCCCCAAATCCTCCCCAAAACGACCCCGCGCAGCTGCTCCGCTCAGCCCCTTCCCCAGGCGGGGCTGGGGGGGGACCCCACTCCCCATCCCCGGTCCCCCCCCGGCACCTCCCGCTCTGCCGCCATCCTGGAACTTTTCCCGGTCTCTGCCGCGCTCCTCAGGGCCCCTCCAGGCGGAATTTGAGGCTGGGGGGCACGGGGATGGCGCTGCCCCCCAGGTGCCATCGCCACAGCGGGTGAGTCTTGGACAGCGCCCACGAGTTTTTCCCTCCCAGCGACGAAGCCGGGCACAAATCCCCGTCCTCGCCCACCACCAGCGAGGGCGTGCAGGGGAAATTGCCCATGAGGCTGAAGGAATTCCGAGGCGGGCTGCTTTTGCAGGGAGTGTTTCCCTTCCTGGAATTCCTCCTGGGAGTTTTCGGCCGCCTGTTTTTGGAGGAGTCGCGTTGCTTTTCGGTGACCCTGGAGAGGCGCCGGCGTTTGGCGTTGCCGTCCCGGCGGCTCCGCAGCGCCGGGGGGCTCTGGGCTCCTCCGCGGGGTTGGAACCGCAGCTCCGCTCCCCTCCAGGGCTCCGGGCCGTCCCTGCCGTGTCTCAAACCTTTCCCGTCCAGGTTGAAACCCTTGGCGTAGCACCACAGCTTGGACTGGCGGATCAGGCGGTCAAAGTGCTCCGGCCGCGGTTCCCCGGGGGCAGCGGGGCCGGGGCTCCCCCGCAGCTCCGGGGACGCCTCTGAGGAAGGCGCCGGCCCCGGGGAGGCTCCGCTGGGCCGCTGGAACGAGGAGCTATTGTTGGAGGCATCTTTGTGCAAATCCTTCCCTCCGGCGTCCCCAAAGCCGCGCTCCTTTTGTGGCGGGGCCCCCCCGGGGGTGCTGCTCGGGGAGGGAGGGGGCGAGGAGGAGGAGGAGGAGGAGGAGGAGGAGGAGGAGGAGGCAGGGGAGGCCTCGAGCTTCGCGTACAGCCCCGGCTGAGCCCCCGGGCCCGGCGCTGCGGCGGCGCTGAAACTTTCCAAAGTTGTGGCTCGCAGGGTGCGGGCCCAGAGCTGCTGCGAGAGGAAGAGGAGCTCGGGCTCCCCCGGCCGCTCCTCGCCCGGCGCCTCCCGGAGGGGCTGGAAGCGGGGCAGGGCCGCCTGCCGGTACCGCGTGCTCTGCACCGAGTCCCCGCTGCACAGCGAGCTGCTCTCCGACTCCGAGGAGCTGCCCTCCTCGCTGCTGCACGAGCTGTCCCCTTCCTCCTCCTCCTCCTCCTCCTCCTCCTCCTCCTCCTCCGAGGAGTCGCTGGAGGTGGCGGGGCTGGAGGCGGCCAGGTCCAGGCTGGAGTCCGAGTCGCTGGAGTAGCCGGCGGAGGTTCCCTGGCGCTTGGAGGCGGGGAAGCCGCGGGCCCGGCCCTTCCCGGCGGCCGCGGGTCCCGTTGCGGGCGGGGGGAGCCCCTTGGGCCAGCTCGGGCCCCGCCGGTGGCCACCGGCCGGGAGCGCGCAGGGCTGAGCGGCCGCGGGGTGCAGCAGCGGCAGGTGCCGGGGGGAACCGGCCAGAACGGCCGCAAAGAGCCCCCCCCGGGCCGGCTGGAGCTGCTGCGGGCCGGGGGGCGGCGGGGCCCGGCCGGGGGAGCCGCAACAACCGCCGGCTCTGCAGGGCGGGGGCCGCGGGCAGGGGAAGAACTCCCCGGAGCCCGGCAGCAGCAGCTGCTCCCTTCTCCTGCTCTTCCTCCTCCTCTTCCTCCGGCGGGGGCCGAGGCTCTGGCAGGAGGTGCAGAGAGCCTCCAGGTCCGCTTTGGAGATGAGCGAGCACTTCACGGCCCGCGTGGGCACCGAGTTGATGGCCTTGAGGGTCCGCAGCTCGGCCAGGTCGCAGCGGCGGCTCTTGATCTTTAAGGTTTCCATCTTCTTGCTGATGGTGGTCCTGGGGATGTCCTTGAACAGGTCGCTGAGCACCTGGGCCAGGGCGAACATCTGGGTGCCGTCGATTTGTAAGTAGCCCAAGTTGATTCCTTGGATTTCTTGGTAGCCGGCATGGAAATTGCCCGGCCGGGTCTGTCGGTGGAAATCCACGGGGGCCGGAGCCATCGCCAAGGTCCCCTCGCAGGTCAGGAACATTTTGCCTCGAGATATTTATTATTGGGGGTTTTTTTGTTGTTTTTTTGGGGGGTATTTTTTTGGGGTTTTTTTGTTTGTTTTTTGGGTTTTTTTTGGTTTTGTTTTGTTTTTTTTTACTTTGTCCCTTTCAAAGAAGGGCACGGAAAATCAGGAAAATCAGGACATTTCTGTTTCCCACTCCGGGATCGCTCACATCCCTCCTCAGAGGGGCCAGAGGGGGAGGGGAGGCGAAAAAAAAACCCAAAAAAAAAAAAAAAAACCCAACAAGGAAAAGAGGGAAAAAAAAAATAATAAAAAAAGCCAAAGCAGCCGATCTCGCTTTTCAAACGCTCCGGTCGAGGTTTGGCAACATCTCCCAAAAACCCAAATTCCTGCTCCGGGGCTCGGCTCCTCGTCTGCCCCCTCCCCGGTGAGAGAAAAAAAAAAAGAGAGGAAAAAAAAATAAAAAAAAAATCAAGAAGTCAAACATCTCTCATCGCTCGGGTCGGCCCCGCACCCACCCCCGCCTCCCAAATAATCGCTTTTTTTTGGGGGGGGAAATGGTGTAAAACAAAGCTCGGGGGGCTCGGGGGGGGTCCCACGTTCCTTCCCCACCGCTGGAATATTCCGGTTCCACGGGGTGTCCCCAAACCCCAAAGATTTCACAGGCGCCCCCTCCCCAAACCCCGCACGCACAATGAGCCCCCTCCCCCCTCTCCCCCTCCCCAAAGCCGCTTTTTTTTTCCCCCTCCCCCTCCCAAAATAACTCAAAACCCCCCAAAATAAAAATCCCAAATCACCGAGGTTCCGAGGTGGCGGCAGCGCGGGCGCCTCCGCTTTGTTTCCGCGGTTTAAATGGATTTTTCGATGATTTTTTGGCTCCACGTAGGGTTGCTCGAAGAGGTCGCTGCGCCTTCCCAAATGTGGATTCCTCTGGGATGGGTGTGTGGAGGAATATTTTTAATAAAGCGTGAAAATTTTTCCTTCTAGGCGGGTCGTTCGAAGCCATGGCCTCGGCCACAATTCATCCTGCGGCTTATTAATTAATTGGCAATTAATTGTATTTATTAGCTGGCGTCCATGAGAAGAGCGGCGGAGAAAAGCGGTGCAAAAGAGAGTTTTGAGGGAGTTGTATTCTTCTTTTTTTGTTGTTTTTTTTTTTACTCGTGCACCGTCTTTATTCAATTCGCGTCTTTTGTGGTTTTTTTTCGCCTGGATTTTTTCTTGAAAGGGGAAAAAAGAAAGGTAAAAAGAAAAAGAGAGAAGAAAGGGAAAAAGGGAAAGGAAAAAAAGGGGGGAAGAGAAAATAGAAAATGAAAGACAAAAAGGAAAGAAAAAAAAGAGAGAAAAAAAAGAAAGAAAAATAAAATAAAAGGAAAAAAGCAAAGAAAAATAAAATTAAAAAAGAAAAAAGTGAAAAATAAAAGAAAAAATAAAAAATAAAAGAAAAAAAAGAAAAAATAAAAAGGGAAATAATAGAGGGGTAAAAATGGGAATTCTCTCTCACTCCTTGGAGCTGCTAAACTTTATTTCCAACTTTAAACCCCAAGGTTTTTTTCGGTGTTTAGCAACTCTCCCCTCCCAAAAAAAAAACAACCCAGGAACAAAAAAAAACCCCAAACCAAACCCGGGCTGCAGATTCCTCTTCCCAAAAAAGTGGGAAAAAATGGGAAAAAATGGGAAAAAAAATGGGAAAAAAATGGGAATGAAGCGCTCAGGCAGCTCCGGGCTCCATTGTCTGAACCTGAGGCTGCGTTCGGACTCCTCAGGAGGCGAATTTTGGGGAAACTTCCCTGGAAAACCTTCCTGGGGGCAGGGAAGCGGTGGCTCCGCTCCTTCCCCAGCCCCGTTTTTGTCTCCGGAATGAAAAGTTGGGTTTGTTCTTCTTCCTCTTCCTCTTCCTCGTTTTTTATTTGATTTTTTTTTTGTTGTTGTTGTTGTTTTTTATAAAAGATTTTAATGCCGGTGGAACGGGCGGGATTTGATTTGTTCCACTCAAGGATGGAGCGGGAGCGATCCCGGTTTAGCGAGGATCCCGGGAGAGGAGGAGGAGGAGGAGGAGGA